TATTTCAGGATTCGAAGCCGATTTTGACATTGCTTTCCCACTTGGCTTATTCAGTCGTCTCTTTTTGGCAATGGGTTGACTTGCTGATGGCTTGACTTCATCTTCCAGTGTATAGAACAGCAAGACCGGGAATCGTGTACCACTGAAAGCGTCCCGGTTCAGAAACATACGAGAGGTTTTTTCGTCGTCAATCTCCCACAGCACATCATCGTGCTTTAGCAAAGCCACATAGTGTCCACTGGTCACCTGCACGGTGTCCCCCTTTCGGCAGAGCATTCCCTTCAATCTGTACATTGGAAGATTGCTGGGGAGTATAGCAGGAGGTACGGCCGAAACCTGCGCTGGGTTGATAGTTTCGGGAATGTCAAAAGGGTGGATCACTTGGTATGCAGAGGGGTTTCGGAGATCCCAGACAATGTTGAGGAGTAACATGCGGGGCAGGTTGTTGGATTCCAAGGACATCTTGGCTCGTGCTCGAGTGACAGCCATTCGTCCATCACATGGTACCGAAAAGCAATGTTGGGGACTGCATGAACGCCACAATGAAAGGTTCATGAGCTGGATGAGGTTAAGTGATGAGCCATGGGGATAGATTTGGAGAACGGTCATTTGCTTCTCCAGTGAGGATGTCTCTTGCCTGACAGGGACTGCATGGGAACAGGGCTGAAAGACATATTCCCAGGTTACTCCGAATTCGAATGTGTTCCGAATCGGGTTCTGTTTAATGATCTGATTGAATTTGCTTGTCATTCTGAGAAACAGTTCACACGGATCATGCTGAGATTCTTCATCTATCAAGTTCTCACCTGCATGTCAGCAAATGAACATGCTGATTGGCAGCAATGATGGAGGAAGGGAACTCACTTCGGAGGATCGGTACAATGTCCTTCAAATCCACCAGCCGTCTAGTTACCGAAATGGCTTTAAGAAAGTCACCTAGTAACACAATCAAAGAAGGTGCGTGAGGCCTGAGAGCGTCATTAGCTTCGTTGAATGCGGACACGAAGGCTGGGATTCGGAAGACAATATGGAACAACGACAGAGCAAAACAGGATTGAAGATAATTCTTTGCTCCAAAAGGTCGATCTCGTGGTGGTAGTGCGTCCCGAGGAATGCCAGCTTTTGTGGGGGCTGTCTTTTGGCGATAAGGATGCAGAGGGCGGTGAGCTGCTGGACGGCCACCCTTATCAGCCTCTGGTCTTGAAACCGGTAAGGTGGCAGTGGTTGAGGGATGGTCGTCAGCATGGTTGAGGAATCGGTTTCGGCGGGTAATGGGGGAATCGGGCTCGACAAAATCAAGGTTGGCACTATCGATGCTGATGAGCTTGCCCTGTTTCGGAGGCTGCTCGGAGGACCAATCATGCCACACAGGCTCCGAAGGGTCATGTCCCCAATAGGCAACAAGGTCTTCTTGATCCAATGGATAAGATATCTCTCCTAACCGTCGTTGTAGCTGTATAGCTCGAGTCTGCAGTCGCAGTTCGTTTGCCGTGACACCATCAGAATACTTTTCGGAGGAGCCACAAGTGTGAAAGCAGTACAATGCCCAGAGACCCGAGCACCTTTTGCCTGTTTCGGTAAAGTATCTGCAGGAGCATCGTTCACGAGTTTTGTCTTTGATCCCACAGTAATGTGAGTCCGGTGTTGTTTTGCTCGATTCGGATGATGTCACACAATATGTATGATCTAGTTGACCTCTCAATGACATAGGCATCTCGTCTCCGAAACATTCCCTAACCGCCCCTTGCTCCCAAAGCTCCAGTCCTTGAAGTATGTGTGACAGAACTGTGGGGTCACAGCGGGCAGATGTTGGTGGTGAATGGAGATACATGGGAAAGTAAACGTCGATGATGATTGTGAGGAGTTTGTCTATACGTTTGTTGGCTCGAGATTCAAGGAATACTCTGTCAAAGGTCCGAAATGCCGCTTCGACAAAGTTGTTTGTTGAGAGAGTACCATCTCGGGTGTGATGAGGTGGCAGACCATAGTCGACAAGGTATCCCCTCCATCTGTCGCTGAACCATTCAGACAGGAGCCAGGTTCTGATTTTGTCCCAAATTTCGGGATCGTTATTGCTGATTGCCGCAACATCGGCTTCTAGTCGAGCAAAAGCTTCTGACCAAGACTCCTCTTCGGAACATCGTTGGCACCTCCGAAGTGCCACAAGGAAGGCAAAGGCCTTTTCGGTACCCACCAGATCACTCCCAAATAGCCGAAGTGCTCGAGATCGGGCGGCATGCATGAAATGAAACTGGCATAACCGAATTGGAGTTCCAGGGAAGACCTCCTCAATGGCCTTTCGTTCGGCGTCATCACAATCAATCATGAAATGTAGTGGAAGGAAATCCTCCTCGTGAATGTATTCGGCGTTGATGAGGATTTGTTCTTCATTCTCATATTCGGAGACCACTGATGATTTGCCCTTGAGTAATGCTTTCGCTTCTTTCTTGATAGCCTTTCGGATAACGCTCAAGAATTCGGTGTAGGAATCGGTGTTGGCGTGATTCGAGACCATGACAGCTACTGGAGCATTGTCAGCTCCAAAACCACCCGAAACGCTTCAAACCACAGAACTCACCAGGGACCATATGACCATATTCATTCACCGTTGCTAGCAGGGTCACAGGACAGCGTATGGCATTCTTATTTCTCCAAGACGAATCCAGAAAGAGGCCCCGATCTGTGGCATGCCGAATTGCTGATTGCAATGCATGTTTCGGACTGATGATTGCAATGAACGAAGAGTCAGCTGGGAATGGCTGAGTGCCACCGAGTACCAGGCCTTCAGGATATTCGCAACTGACAGTCAGCTCATGATGACAAGGAAAAGCTGGCTACATACTGCAGGAAAGAGCTTGGATTGGCCGCATGTAAGATACTTATCGCCGCCAGTGGTAGCCGATCCAGCCTTTCCTGCCGCAGAGCCGTTCGGATGGCAGTTTGGAAGTCAGTGGTGGTAGGAAGACGCTCGGGATAATTTGCCTTGACCCATAGGACATAGGGGTGAATCTTGCAGAAGGAATTGTACCACCGAAGCCGAAGACGTGACTCAGTCGTTCCCACCAGAGTTGCAGCATCGTGGAGTAGGTTTCGGAGATGTGGCGAAATCCGAAGTAATGTCAACGGGTTCGGTTGACCGTGATATGCAGCTTTCGGGCGGATCAGACAACAGACCCCTTTTCGGATATTGCTGGGAGTCATTCGTATCTAAGAAAATCAGCTTAGTGAAGATGAATCATCCTTAGGTGACCCACCTCAAGAAAAAGATCACACTTTAAACGTGCCCTTGAGGAATATCGTGCGCTGGCAGCAGTTGGAGGGTGAGCTTCGGCTGTTGTGTGTGTTTCATCCTTTGCTTTCGGCTCAACATGGTGGTGGACACTGTCCAAAGTTGGCTGGATCTGGGTACAGTTGCCACTGCATCGGAAGATCGACCGAAACACTGTCCGATTCGGGTATGACGCGACAGCACTGTCAGAGACAAAGAAGAGGCCATGTCTTCCCCTGATGTCGGCGGGCAATAAACCAGGGGGATCCAACCATTCCACTTGAACACATTTGGATATATGCTGGGTCTCAATGAGGTAGTCCTGACGCTAATATATCAACAGAGTTACACTTCCGAAACAGCAGAACACTGACCAACGCGTCAAAGGCTTTCGGAATATGATGAAACGCCACCTCAAACTGTTCATAGCGATCATCATCCACCAGGTCAGGATTCGGTAATCGACAGAAGGTTTCCAAAGCACGTATGTTGACCCCAAGACTGGCGTCGGTGCGAGGAGCTTTCAGCTCCAAGACTTGAGCCTCAGGACGTGGTACGGAGTATGATTCGGAAGAGATATTGACAATTCGGAAGCGCCCGGCCGCCTCTTGCCTGGCAGTCATGATCTCATCTTCCACCGAAATAGGATTCAGAGGTTGAGAGGGAGACCATTTCGGAACAGCAGGAGACAATGAAGCTGAGGGGGAGGCCATGACAAGCTCTGTCCAGGGTGCCGAGTCGGGTGTCACAATACCAATACCGTTGGAGGATACAGGAGTATTTCCTGAGGCAACTCTCCTGTCAGTTGATACATAGGGGGGGTCCGAAAGTACCCACTGGGATCAGCCGTGGACAGAGGCATCTTGTGATTGGAAGATTGGGGAAGAACACTCTGTGGGCTTAGCTGCGACGGTCCGGGAAACTGCTCTGAATTATTTACTGAGCATAAGCTTCAATGAACCAAAAGGAAAAGGGACTGTCTTACAGGGCACCGAAACCGAAACTGACTGGATTTCCGAAGCTGCCTTGTAGATAGAAGAAGACTCAGTACGTTGGGAAGGACCGGCTACATAGTTAGTAAGGAGTAATACAAGTTTCGGGGAAGAAACTGACATGTTGATGGTGTTTGTGCACTAGAAGCATAAACTTTTGGAGGTCGACCACGAAAAGGCGACTTTCTCTTTAAAGCGTTAAGAATGAGTTGATCAGCTTGATTATTCTGAGACATAAAGCTTGTGAGCTTAATTGAGTAAGTTACTATTATGTTTAAATCAATGGAAAGAAGATGATTGAAATAAGAAGAGGAGAAAAATGATTGCCCAATCACCGCCAAACAGTGCCTAGGGTTGAAGGAGACATCCTTTCGGGGGCGTTTCCGAATTTGAACTCCAAATGGCTCCAGCGAGCCAAGGATTCCGAATTCGGAGGTTCTGCCTGCGTGAATAGCTTCAGAATACGTGTGGCAACACATAGATATGCAGCACGCCACGGTAAGATGGATATTCAATACAGGGGGGATTTGGGGACATTCCGTAGGTATTTGGGTCAGTAGTGGAGGGATCCTCGGGTTGAGTGACGTGTTTTGGGAGAAAGTGGCAAAATCTCGTCGGGATTAATTCGAGTTCCGTCGGGATTATCCCTACGCGCTGTTGTTGCATGTATGTTCCGTTGTCTTGAACTACTGATACACTACTGGTACACTGGCTCACAACCCAATCGTCAGTACGTATTCATGCGGCTCATAACCGCAGGCTTATTAATCCAACCGCTGGTGGTCCTCGCTGCCGTCCAAGTTTTTCTATACCCCTCTTCACCTACCTCGCAACACAAACATGCCCCGACTCTCACCCCTTCTCAAGCCAATGCCGTCCTCTCTCATCACTTACATCAACCCATCGACGATTTTGACGAGATACCACAGGATGAGAGTCTTTGGGGACATCTTGTAAGCATGTGGCATGGTGATCATGAGAATGGAAATGCCAGGGTGATCATTATCGATGGAGGAGTTGAACCTCAAGGTGAGCTACCACATTCCTCTCGTTACATAATCTCGACTGACAATCTAGACGTCCTCCCTACTACCCTTCCCAAAACACCCAGCTTCTACCTTCCTGATGACTCGAGCACAAGATCGCTACTAGCACCTTATCTTCGACGGGCGGAAGATTACCTCTCACACATGTTGGAGAAACTCCCTGCATTGGCCAAATCTTTCAAGGATATCTTCGAAATGGCCGGTACGAGTGGGTTCCCATTTCCATCTTGCCCTTCATTTCCCAGCTGACATACTTCAGAAGCTGCCGCTTTACTAGGAGATGAACTATCATGCCTTACCGCACTCGCTGATTCTTTACCATGGACGGGCACCTCAGAGTCAGAGTCTTACGAAGCTATCTCGATCACTGGTTTGAAGGGCGTACAACAAGGAGGAGAAGTTTGGGAAACAGGAAGACAAGGTTTGAAAGCTGGTCTTGAAGCTGTAAGTATTTTCATACTTGTCATAAGTTTACTTCTGATGTATACAGATGACACAACCTGATTCACCCCCTTTACTACTCATAATCATGCCCTCCACTCCTATCTCCGCACGCTCAAATTATCGTACACCTCAGCGTAGAGACAACACCTCCTTGGCGGATCCATGTTACGCTTCCAACGAGACCTGCTCAGAGACGACTTCCTGCAACGGTCGTGGTGCTTGTGCTTTGAAGGCCAAAACGGTCGATGGGGAATGTTGGGGCTGCAAGTGTACCAGTGGATATGCGGGGGTGGAATGTCAGAAGGACGATTATTCCGTGTGAGTCAAGCTAAGATTTGATTGAAGATGAAGCTGATTTGAAAGACCTTTCGCTATATTGGTGGTATCGACGGTAATGTTGTTCTTGATGGTTGTAGGTAGCGTGTCGTTGTTAGCTTCGGTGGGAGAGACCAAGCTACCTTCTACGCTGAATCTGTCAGTCAGTGGGAATTCAAAGAGAGATTGAGTGATGAGGGGATGGATTGTAGCCATGCAAAATGTTCACATAGTTACCTTGTTCTACCTATTTTCACATTTAGAGCTCACTCACTCACCCTTTGGCGCACGCGTCCCTCTCGTATCCACAACTTTCCCATTTTCAATTCCATCTACTTATCCTTCAATTTTGTCGCTTCATTCCTTGTGTCACAACTCATGATGTGGATATACTCCCTTCTTGTTTCTTCCCTGATTTATAACATCCAAGCAGAACTTGTGACTGCTTCGAAGCGAGACATCCTCATAACTTCCTCCACACCTCTCTCGGACCATCCAGCCTGTCTACAAACGACGTACTATGGGACTTACGGCGGATCTTCTCATACTCAAGAACACATCTTCCTTCCTTCGCCTGAATGTCTCACTGCTCAAGGGACGATCTCCTCTTTGAATACCGGCTCCATCATCTCGGTCCCTCCTTCTCAAGATGGACGTATTGTTTGGGTGGGTCCAGCGGGAGTTGATCCTTCTCTCCTTCCCTCCGATTCAGACCTTTCTTCCATATGGGAAACCATCTCTTCTCTTTCATCATCCTCCAATCCTCTGACGCAAGATGAAACGCAACATGTCATCGGTATCTCATGGGAAAAGAAAGAGATCATACTTCTCCATCGTTCTTCCAACTCGTTACTCCTTCAAGTCCCTTCGGACCAATTGGGAATTCTCGACACTCTTCTTCCTGCTCATTTAGTACCTGTAGCTTTACCACAAGAACCATTACCGACTTTATGGCCTGGAGTTGGATCTCGTTTCGCTTCGAATTTAGCAAACCTCACCAAGACTTTGAAGTTTGATCCGACGTTGGACGCTGTTTTGAATGAGGGTATCCAATTGAATGCGGTGAGAAGAAATGTGAGATGGTTGACTGGTGAAGCTCCTAGTGGTTGGAAATCTAGACATGCATTCACTCAGGGAGCTCATGAAGCTGCGAAATGGATCAAACGTGAGTTCTCATCATCTTCCCGTCTTCCCCTTCTTCTTCTTGATCTTTCCTTTTCTGAATATCTCACATCCCACCCAAACTCCCTTGGTCGCTGGACCAATATTCAAAATCAAGGGTCTCTCGTTTTTTCGTCCGAGGATGCGAACTATAACACCAGTGTTGCCTCAGTCCCACCAGACAACTGAAAAAAGGGATAGAAGCACCTCAATTCACCTCCAAGAGAAGTAAATATCGTATATCAAGAGCTGATCTCCTATAGACAAAGTAGAATCCTTAGGTCCTGAATGTATTTTCTTCCCATTCTTACCCGGTTTCTCTCCAGATGTAATTTGTCATTATCCTTCTCTTTCAAATTCAACAGAAATGGTCATTCTTTCAGCTCATTACGACTCTCGAGGATCTTTCGGGCTCACTAGAGCTCCAGGTGGGAATGATGATGGTTCTGGATCTGGACAATTGTTAGGGATAGTGGAAGCTATTTCAAGTCAAGGATTACAATTTGAGAAACAATTGGTAGTTGCTTTCTTCTCAGGGGAAGAACAAGGTTTATATGGAAGTCATTATTTTGCCAGTGAGTGGGATGGTTGCTTTCCTCTTCTTTAACTTCTCATATTCTCTTGGTTTAAATATCTCCCCCTCTTCCTTAAGTTCTCATATTCTCTCGGTTTAAATATCTTCGATGCTACAATTTAATCTTCCCTTCAGAGCATGGAGAGTACGTTGTCCCTTGATATGAGCACGAGTCCGATGGGTCAATAACATTGGGTCATGGGTCTTTGACGGTCTTTGTGGGCTGTCGTGTAATGGAGATCAAGAGTTTTTCTCAGATATGAAGTATCTCGCAACTCTGACTCATAGAACATCTTTACGAACAAAACGCGACTGTCTTGTTACATATTCAAGCTGATATGTTGGGATATCACGTTCCAGGTGAACCATTACAACTGGCTCTTCCCGAATCGTAAGTTCCAAATTCCAACATACCAATTTACCGATCTCACCGTCAAAGGTTTTAATCTCCCCTTGTCTAATTTCTCAGCCTAGTTTCATCTATTTTATCTTTTGTCATAATCCCCATCCGTAGAGGATGGCGTACTTGAATCACACCATAGCTGACGACCGCAGTATCGGCCTTCCTGAAGCCGCCCATCTCGTAGGCAACGTCTCCCATCTTTACTCCCCCGAATTAGTGGTCGGCACAACCGCAGCTTGTTGCTCAGATCATCAATCCTTCGTCGCCTACGGTTTCCCCGCCACTCAGGTGTATGAACGTAATGGTCCTATCGCAGATCCGAAGTATCACAATAGCGGGGATATCAGTCAGAGGGAAGGATATGATTTTGAACAAATTGTAGCTATCGCTCGTGTTGTTTTGGCCACCGCTATGACTGTTGCTGGGTGGAAAATCAAGTAGTCCATCTTCCCCTTTCGACCTTCAACACCAATTTGGTGAGAGTTTCGAAACGATGCACATTTGTGATATGTTGTGAGAAAGAGTCTGCTACAGTACATGCAAAATATATGAGGGTTTTCTACTGATACTTCTACGATCTGATACAACTTCAACAATGGTCATGTCATAATGTCTTCGGCTTATCCACATCCTTCTCATACCCTTCTAAAACCATATCACTCAAACCTAGATCATCATTCTGCTCTTTCGTCCGTTCATACTCCACTATGGTCATGTTGGGATCAGGATCCGGAGCATAGATATTTTGTAAATAACTATTACTGACAGGATCATCAATGATTAAAGTGAAAGGTCTAGCCACTGTCATACAATCTTTCAAACCCTTCAAGAATTGTTCGAAAGTTTTTTCATCTTTATCGTCTCTATCTTGTTGACCAACACCCACATGTGCCGAATCACCCGCTCTGAACACTTTGGTAGATAGTTCGCTATAAATATCGTTCAAGAGACCTTCGAGTGTTGTGAACCTTCCACCGAGAGTACCTGGTTGAAGGACCAATTCAATCTCTGGTATTTCCAAACCGGCAGTGTCGGATTTGAGAAGATCACGACTAAGATCTTCTTCGTCGCTCACTTGGAGAGTTATACGTTTGCCTTTATCAGATATGGCTTGACCGGATTTGACTTCGTTATCTCGATACCCACATGCAGGACAATTGGTAGCCATAATAATTATGTTCTGGTTCATAAGCATTTTCCCCATACACTGGGCAACAGCCACTCTAATGTACACAAGCTGCGCCCAAAGACGATGATTGACGAACGAAGATGTGGATCAAGGGGAGATGACTACAGATGACTCACTTGGAAATATGGAATGTTGACTTGTTGCATCCGAGTGTCAAGGGCGTGTCCGCAACTCGAACAAGTACTCGGGAAACTGAAGACTTCATCCGGCATGACAGCCCCATTTACTCCCATATCGGCCAATTTCTTATCTCGCAACTCCTCGAATTCCTTCATATCCCTCAACTTGTGATCTTCCGGTATCGCCACTTCACCAGCCTGGCCTTCACCCGTATCTTCTACGTCTTCCGGTGCAGCCACCAAACCAAGTGCTACATTCTGTTCAAAAGTCCTATTATACGCTCTCATATTCCATTGAGGATCATTGGCTGCTCCTATAAATTGGAAGAATGAATTACCGGAAGGATCGTCTAAAGTGACTGTGAATGGTTTGAACGCTTTTTCGTGTCCCTCCACCACAGGGACTTCGGGTCGAACTGCGAGTACTTCATCATCTGGTCGACCCACACCTCCATCATCATCATCCTCGTCTTCGGGCATTCCGATCAAATCCCGTAGAGCTTCAATAGTGTCGTCGATCTTCTTGGCATTCTCAGGATCCATCACTCGTCGTAGAGGTTGTGACATGTTGAGATCTCGTACAGTGTCTCTTATGATACCCTCCACAGTTGTCAGTTGACCGCGACCGGGTGGTATGGTAAGTTGCAAATCGGGTAAGGTAACGGTAGAGGTGGCAGATTTGACCAATTGTCTATTCAAATCTTCTTGACGTAATAGATGAACGGTGAAATTGACTCCTTTTTCTGACGGATCAGTTCAGCTTTACCTGGAAAGATGAAAAAACGTACCTTGTATTTCTCCTGCTGATTGAATTTCCGTATCACGCCACCCACAAGAGTCGCACTGAAAGGATGATAAAACTATTTCTTTGAAGTAGGGGATACTAGTGAGCAACAATCTGGTTTTACCCTGCATGATCAGTGAGAAAATGAGAAGTGAGAGAAAAGAACAAACCTGCTCGTGACATCGCATACAGAGACTGTCGATCTCTTGCATTGCTCCATCATCGCCGTCATCGTCAACATCGGGAAGGGCGGTCTCACCCTCTTGAATAGGGATGTTGTCCGGACGGTCAGGCCGAGCTGCGGTCTGACTGGCGACTTCGCCTAAAGTGGGAAAAAGATTTTCTTTTTGCTCTGTCATAGCGCGCCCCACAGACCGCCTATTATCAAACTTTGGTGAGAGTCAGATCTGAAAATCAGCCTAGGTCGATAGTCATGTATGCCGGATATAATCTCTACGAGGAAATAGGAAAGCTCAGACCGTTGTAGTTTAGGCATTTACGAGGGTTTCACAGTCCTGAAGACTACTCAAACGCAAATTACGATCATCATTGAAGTATATAATGAGGAGGAGGGGGAGAGAAGAGAGACTTACTATTTTCCCGTCAGCTATCTGTCTCTTTCAATCTTGACAAAAGAAGAAGCTGATGGGCTGAGAAAGGGAGGGGAGCGAGACAGTGCGAGTGATCAGTTGTAGGAGAGTGAGGAAGAGAGGGGGAGGGAAATTTCGTCGAAGGGCGTGGAAGTTGTGGGTAGCGGACATTGCCACTTACTCCGTGTCTGTGTCACGTGATGTATCTATCTCCACCTTGGCACAGTCAAAGTATGAAGAGATTAATTGAGTTACATATTTAGTACTTCTGTAAAAACCTCTTGCCATGAGCTCCAGTATGCAAGACTTCGTAGAGGTGAGCTTTCAGAAGATTCGACAAATGCTAAACTCTAGCTTCTCAATGCTGAACAGTATGTGCCCATCACCAAACTCCGTGAGAACGCACGTCATGGGATCTCATCCAGAGTCCGGGGTGTGAGTGGTTTCTTCATTACATCCTCCAACCTTTCTTCTTTGTATTACAGAGCTTCTGTAAGTATGAATTCATTGGTTGATTGTGAATTGTTCATGGGATAGCATTCTCCATATTTAAAGTTCTCACGCTCACTTCATAGGAAGTATGGATGTACCTCCTAGAAATCCTATCTTCAGATAAAACCAACGAGTCGAAATCACTAGTAGACCTAAACGAATCCTATCAACATCTCCCTTCCTCCCTTTCTTCTTCCATCACTTCTGTCATCTTAAAAACAGCGTTACATCATCATCTTCGTCGATTCTCTAATCCAACATATGCCAGTCTCATCTCAAGTTTGACGGCCGAACCACTTCCCCCCCTAGACTCTTCCCCTTCTCAACCACCACCAATAGAAAGAGATCGTGTCAACCCTAATCCCTCTACCGATATTACAAACAGTCCAAATTCCAATCCTAATCTAAAACCACCAAGCCAAATTTTGACTTTGTCAGATGGTTTAAACGTACCCATTGTGGCAAAGACGGACAAAGCGAATGTTCAAGCTCAACATATGAGACTTCTTCCTCCACCTCCAACTTCCCCTCTTACTCGTCAAAATTATCTTACGGTGATACAAGAAGTCATCGGAAAGTATTATGCAGCTCGTTCCGCTGGTCTTCTTCCCTCTGCCCGATTTTCCATTCCCTACACAAACTTAAAACCTCAAGGTTATCAAAGTCAAGGCGACATTGTTGAAGGTCAGGTTGAAGCAGGGAAGAGTAGTATAGAATGGAAAGAAGAATGGGAAGATCCAAAAACATTGGTTTACCTCGCTACACCTTTTTGTTGTACTTACACTCGTCCAATTGCGATCTATCTCTCCTTAGCTCATTTCATTGCGAGACTCAAATCTTTCCCTCCTCTCCCAAGTAGACTAGCGAGTTTGCTCACTCTCTTCCGACTTAGCATCCCGGACTTGTTCGGATACTTCGAGGACGAACAGGTTAATTATATTCAAGTGGCCATGAGCTGGCTTACGGGAATGTTGGGGAGGGAAATGTGTTTGGCCAATGTTTTGAGATTGTGGGGTCAGTCCGAATTTTCTGGTTTGATCAAATTAGATGGAACGAGAGCTAACTCGAAGATGCTTACATCGCCTCTGAAGATATGTTCGAATTACACTGTTACGTCTGCGTAGCTATACTTGCAACTTGCAAAGAGTCCGTCTTTTTCCCGTTAATATCTCGTCTATGTGACAATGCTGATGCCTAGAATTTTGGAAGAACTGGATAGTTCAGAAGTAAGGATCATGCTCCTCGATCTACCCCCTCTGGATATCGACCGAGTGAGAGTCTTCACATACATCTTTGCAACTCGCTGATGAATACAGTTGTTACAAGACGCTGCCAATATGAAAATGGCTTATCCATTACCTCGGCCCGTCGAAGATCTAAAATGAAGTTTGGCACGGATCCCACAAAGCATCGACTGTTGGCAAGGGCGATGACGACCCACTTAACTGTTGAAATCAATCAATACGACACTATGACGATCTGAACGACCATTCTATACTTTGACATTCATCGGCATAGACATTATCAACTACCAAGTGAGTGTGCACATAAATCTAAAAGAGATAGACGCATATGCGAAGAGGCGGTTACATATGGGCAAGAGCTGATGATAGGTAGATAATACGCAATCGACAGAAGGTTCCGACATGACGATCCCGAAATTTCCAAAGCAATCTTCCCGGGCCCGGGGCCCTCAAAGAAGACCACAATCACGAAGATTGACCTGGATAATGACGTCACTGGCACGTTAGTCAGATTTTCCAATTGGACATGAGGCGCGGCACTCACTTGATGGCGGAGATGACGAAAGCTAAAGCCCTCGTATCTGTTGCATCTGTGTAATGCTGCCGATCAGTATTTTGCTTACAAAAGGTGTGAGATGAGATCGCTGAGAGAGACTTACGGCGTAGATAGATTTTGTGAGATTCTTGTTCAATCCCACGAATTTCTCAAGCAAAAAGGCGCAAGCAGCGTCGTAATTTGCGCCGCCTTTGTAATCTGGGAAAGTGTTTGACAGAGGGGAATGAGGAAGTTTGGCACGGAACAGATCAATCTTGTTGAGGAATAGGATGATGGAAGTCTTGACAAACCATCGGCTGTTGGCTACGGATTCGAAGAGTGTCATGGCTTCTTGCATCCGGTTGACGGTTTCGTCTTCGTACAGTCTTTGATCGTCTGACTGTCAGCTACATTGCTGCTCTTCTCTGAAACTGGAGATTGACTGACATTCGCTGATAGCGATGAGGAAAACCAAAGCAGTAACACAGTCAAAACAGTTGAGCCATTTTCGACTATCTCGTCAGTTCCCATCACGAAGGTTCGTTTGACTGAACTCACCGCTCCGAACGTTGTCCACCGACATCGAAGATTTTGTAGGTTAATTCACCGATCTGGAAGAAGGTCTCCCTACTGGATTAGTAGACTTCATAAGGAGGAGTCAAGAACGTACGTTATACCGGTTGTTTTGACACGAGCCCGGAGAATGTCTTGATCAGTCGGCATGTAATCGGGGGTGGAGATACGATGAATAGCGTCAAAGTAGCTGTTGGGTCAATTTAATCCTCACAAAATCTCCAACACACAGAGGAATCAAGCTTGAGATGCTCAAGCGATACAAACTAAGTCTGGATTGGAGTGATGGGCAGTTCCAGAGAAAGAGAAAGGAATCTAACTCACTAGGGTGCTGAATCATTCAACTGAAGCTCGTTCCTCCTCTCAAAAGCATGTCTAACACCAGGATCTTGCCAGAGACAAATGACTGCGTCGGCAAGTTTCGGGGGCATTTGATCACCTTCGATTTGTGCCGGAGCATCCATGATGAGATCCCAACGATGTTGATTGGCAGGATCGATAGGTAATCCCATGAGTTGTACACCCTCCAGTAAGACTCTCATGGATTGGATAGTGTTGGAGTAGACGATTTCTCGATACGAATCACGTTCTTCTGCATCGTATGGTCTGAACAATGAGCACGGACCGTTTCCCCCTTTTCCCTGTTATCCTCATCCACTCCCTGGTGTCACACATCTTCCGAATCTGTCACATCCACTCCCAGCTGGAACAGCACGACGAGGAGTTTATGAAGAACATATCAAGGTCCAGAAGTGGAAGGAATGAGATGTAATGGAAAGGATATCAAAACTCACTTGTTATAAATCAACCTCATTTGCTTGAGCACGGTGGATTTGCCAGATTCACCAGCACCCAGTAATAACATTTTGATCTCATTTCTCAGATTCTGACGATCTCTTCGAAGTTGTTCTTCGATTTCATCATTACCTACAATCATCAACACACATTTCTCCCCTTACACTCCTCCATCGCTGGTGAAAAGTATGACAAAGTATTACAAAGCATGGATAAAGGCAGACTTACGAGCTTTCGCCGCTGAATCCTCAGTTGATTGAGTACAACCCATTTTGATTCTCTATCGATCTTTTGCCGGAGAGGTTGAATGAGGAGATCAGAGATGTAGGTGTGAGGAGAGAATGAAAAAGATAGAATGAGAGTTGAGAGAGTAAAAGATGAATGAAAAAAGGTCTGAACACCTGTCAGCTTTTCTCCCCTTATCCCTGTAGCCACGGAGAACTAAAAACCGAGAGTGGGAAGCAAGCGCAGAGGAGGGGAAGAGGGGTGGTGGTCAAGGTACAAGGACCTTTTTAGTGATCACACCATCACATCATCAATCCATCAACGCCATCAAACTATGGCGGTCCGAGCGACCACTAAGTCAGAATCGGCATGTTACTCAAAGGAACATCCTCCCATCCGTTTATTTCACTTTATGCCTTGACTCAGACAGGTGAACGTATTCTCCTCTCTTCCTCCCGTCTGTTTCAAGAGAGATGGAGTCGCAGTGATAATGAGAGATGGGATGATGGACACGGACACGGACTCACAGTCAAATACGCCCGCCACTCGAGGTCACACCCGTGATATTATGTGTCACTGTGGGGTCCAAGAAGACGGAAGGAATGTAAAGAGGGTCAAATTGTAGGATTTTATATGATTTGTCAAAATGTACCGTGAATGTCGGTACTAAGTGGAGGAATACAAGGAAGGAATGAAGATAAAGGTGGTCGTAGACGGTACACCTTTTGGCCTTTGGTCCCCCACGCGGTCCACTGTCCACGATTGTCTTTCTGCCGTTTGATCGAAACGACCCCTTTATACCCTCGGGTCCTAAAAACTCTTGCTTCTCCTCCTGTGTCAAAGACTATTCTTCAACCTGGTCGTCGCTATAGCAGGTCGGATGTTGCAATATAGTACAAGTAGTGAAGTAGGAACGAGGGTGGAAGAGGGGAGATGGCGAGGAAGATGAAACGATCAAAAACGGTGGGGGAAGGAAGGCTCGAGCGTCGTCTGTTTCAGATCTTCTACGCTTTGTTTTGATCTTGACACATGCGTGAAATAGAAGAGACACAAGCAGGGAGGAGACTGAGTGTCAGTGGGACGATGAGAATTCACGATAACTCGTATATATCTCATTCGATATCTAAGCAAGTGTTCAAGCAAATCTTCCAACAAACATGGAGAAAGACGACAAGGTTTAACCTTTTCATGGTTTCTTCCGCCCTGATTCATTCCATCCGACTCGAGAAGCATACATCGTCTATAAGCATCCCGTTCTTCTGTCAGAGGATCAGCAAGGGTAAAAAAGGCAAACCGGTGACATGCATACCCGCATCATCCCTGCCTATAGTCGGATCGGGGAGTCCAACTGCCAGAACTCCGAGAGAAGATCGCTCCGGCGCTAAAGCGGCAACGGGCGGGGGGAGAGGAATGAACCGATGACATATGAGGAGCTGTAGCGCTTAACTGGAGAAGTGCTGAGGGAATACGCATGTAGTTGAGTGGTTTTGAAAAAGAACAATGGATAAAAGTTGTGTTCGGGGACCAAAGACTAGGATATCGACTCGCGGATTGAGGCGATGAGAGCGGCCGTCAGGGTTTTTCTTAGTTCATTAGCCCAATCCGGCATGAAATTTTTTGCCTTCACACTTCATCTCTTCACCGTGATAATCATGTGGAAGAAAGGTTTGAAACTCACTCGAGACTTCACTATTATCCCTGCTCCTCCTCGAGTCAAGACTCCTGAGTCTCAACTCGGAGTTGCTAGTAATGTGATGGATACAAACAGTCCTGCTGGAGTCAAGACTACTAAGTCTCAACTCGCACCTATTGAAATCCAAGTCGTACCGCAAGTCGTTGTCGTACCGCAAGTCGTCGTACCGCAAGTCGTCGTACCGCAAGTCGTCGTACCGCAAGTCGTCGTACCGCAAGCTACTAAATCTCAACTCGCACCTGTTGAAATACAAGTTGTACCGCAAGTCGTTGTCAAACCGCAAGCCGTCGTTGTACCGCAAGCCGTTGTATTGCAAGTTGTACCACAACTCATAGACGGAGTCGAGAGCAAAGTTGTACTGGGAGGGAAAGTTGAGAGCAAAGTCGTAGGAGGAGGGAAAGTCGGAGGCTTAGGGAAAACAGGAGGGAAAGCGTTAGGAAAGAAGCATCGCCAATCTCGTGCTGCAGCCAAATATCGTGAGGAGGGGAAGAACATGCGAAAGCGTTGGTTGAGGAAAATCAAAGATATCGGTGAGTCATTTCAGTCTCGTTGATTCATGTCTGTTTTCTCAATACACATCACCTTCGGCCTGTCTTCTCGATTCACATCAACCTCGTCAACTCATTGCACCTAGCTGACAATCACAGTTCCGCTACATGTCACGGCACCCTTGGAAGTGTGGACATATGCATTAAACCATCTCAAACAAAACCACGGACAAGCAGCAGTCCGGAAGTGGGTTGAAACATATGAAGTGTCGTTATTCATCTATCGACTCTCTCCTCCACCTACTCCTTTTGTCATTCCGGTCCCTGCCAATGATCAAAACATCCAAGTAAAGAATCTCGTGATACACATTCCAAATGCCTTCTCCATAGAAATAGAAAGGAAGATCTTAGAAGCGTGGGACTCTGTGAAAGCGGTGAGTGTCATGAATCCTCTCATCCAGTCAGATGTACTCCAACTCCGTCCGGGAGAAAGCTGTTGCTGACCCTCAGGCAAAACTCAAGCAGAATTCCGCCAAATGTTCTGCACGACATGCTTCCAAGGATGAACATAGTGATGACCTCATCTATGAACAGGTGCTACATCTATTAGAATGGAAACGATACAGCAAAGAGATTTTCATTACTTCCGACACCAAGCAGGATGGGAATGAAGATGCTATCTACCAACTTCTGTTTTTCTGCTCCACCATTGCCAAATTACTGGGACCTCCGGCTAAAACTTTGCTTAAACAACTCGACTCTAGTGCATTGAACCCCATCACCGAGTGAGTTCCCCCCTTTTCTCTAAAAAAGACATTCATTGACCTTCAGGTATCTCCATGATAGATCAGATGTACCAAGACCTGAACTTGAAGAAGCACTAAACCGGCTGCAGAAGACACATCCAACCTTTCCAAATCCATTCTTATTGCGGATCGCAACTTTTTTAGCGGTGACAGAGCGAGTTGGAGAAGTATTTCATCTTGATTTTGGAGATTCAAATCAGACATATGCCCTCCTAGCTCCAATGGGGAAGTGGACATCAGGTGGGGAATTACACATCCCCTCTATTGGTCTGTTCCACCATCTTCCTCCTCGTTCTGCGACTTTCTTCTGCTCCACCTTCTTACCCCACAAAGTCACGCCCATTGTGGGAGGAAAGAGGCTTTCTCTCACTCTTTCCACTTGTTCCAATGCTCTTCAACATGTACTAGAATGAATGGATCTATTGTAAGTATGATGAACACCAAATTCATGACATGCATTACAATTAAAAAGATCTCATGCATAGAATGCAGAGTTGGGCAGTATCTAGAATGATGTACCTTGGCTTACTCCAGAAACCTAAGCCCCCTTCGTCTAACCTCGTCCTCTTGTGCCATCCTTCGTGCCGCACCTGCACCACCTCGCTCATTTCCACTCCTCACTATCCGCTCAATGGGAAAGCCTGGCCGAAAAGCCAACCCTAAAAGTGCTCTTACTCGTGACGCCGCAACAAATGTCAATCCAGTTGCAAACTCTCTATTGCCTATGTCAACACAAGCTCTATCTAGTGTCATTCCCTGGGATTTGTGAATAGTGATGGCGTAAGCAAGTTGGAGAGGGAATTGTGTTCGGGAGCAAGTTGTTCCTGCAGGCCCATCCCAGGTGACAGTTACAGGGGTGATTGGGAGAAGAGGAGTTCCAACTTCATCACGCCATGAAGTTTGTCCCTGATAAGTGGGAAAGGCAACCATAACTACACTGGGCAAGTCGATTCCTGCTTCATCACCCTCTCTCAAACCAATTGAGTGTACCCTTCCCCTTGTCCCATTCACCAAGCCCTGGCTCGTCCATAAATTGCGAGTCAACATGACCTCAGCACCAATCATCAGATGTAGCACTCGAGACAAACCCTCCGCCTTCTCCTCTGTTCCTTTCTTTGCCTGCACACCAGTGTGACGTGCTTGAACTCTCAAGACCGGTGCCCCTGCTTTAACCAACCTGCCCACATTGATCTCTGCAACCCGAGCCTTCTCAGAGCAGAGGTTGACCGCAGTAGCATACTGCTCTTGTTCCAGTTGTCCAAGGCGATCCCAAAAGCGAGTTGCAAGCCTATCATAATCCTGTTGGGAAACCTCACCACTTCGAAGATGTGAAAGAGTAGCCCGGAACCCCAGACTCTCAGTATCTTCTCCCACTTGCCTCATCACCTGACCAAGCTCTATGCTCTCCTTGAATTGGCGATAGACTTCCAGTCCTTTATTTTGAAGATGAGATGAGGAAGAGGACCCCTCTCGCCACATTGTCACATAGAGCGGTGTATCTCCAACTGGTGGAAGCTGCCCAAAATCCCCAAATAGAAGCACACTGAGACCACCAAAAGGGAGGTGGGAAGAGGCAGGAAAGATGAAACCAAGTTGGGTGTGGATACGTCCTAAAGCTTTCCTTCCAATCATGCTTTTCTCATCTAGGATAAGATATTTGACCATCTTCCATTCTTCTTGCAGAGTTGCAAGTCGAGCTCCTGACAATCCAACAGGTCTTGCTTTGTCGTCCGCAGATAATCCCAGGGCTGAGTGATAGGTTTGTCCAGCAATATTGAAAGCAGCAACACCGGTTGGAGCAAGGCGTTTTACACAGCTTGAAGGTGATATGAAGTTGTCCAAGCTCTGAGATATTGCGTCAATCAGGAATGATTTGCCAGTTCCAGCAGTACCATCGATATTCAGTAAGAAGGGTGGGTCAGGACAGCCATTTTGCCAGGCTTGGGCGTGTTTCATGACTTTGCTGTGTACCCGTTTTTGAGTGTCGTTGAGGAGCAAGATGTTGACTGGGGGGCGTGAAGCGGTTGCAACCGACTGTGGAATCAGTAAAGGTTGTATCAGGTAAGACTCACAGTCTTCTTCCACTCTTCCAGAGCTTTGGTCCTCTCGTCCAGACCATCCACTCCCCATTCCCGAGTGGCCTTATGCCAGTCCTCTGCTTTATCCATGTCCCGAAGACCAAGCCGTTGACCTATATCCAGTTGGACGGTATGTGAACCTCCCTCTTGACACATGAGATGCCAATCTTCAAGCACCTGCTCCTCCTCATCTCCTTCATCGGACGAGAATTCTTCATCAACTTCTTCTCCACCTTGCCTCCAGCCTCTTGCTGGCAGAGTATCTTCGTGGCCATCCAGATGTATAGTCTTGCACCTTTCATATCCTAAACCCCATGTCTCTCCTTCATCAAGTAGCTCTGTCTCATTTCGATGTGGGTGGTGTAGGATAATTTTTGCTCGGCACCACATCTCATACTCTTCGTTATCACTGTTTGATGGGTGATAGGCAGGCCAGAGACGAACAATCCTGTCATTCTTTTGACGAAACACAATATTCCCATGTCGTTTTTCATACCGTTTGTACCACTGGTACAAGTTGATGTTCTCCAGCGTCTCATCCCTCTGGAGATACATGTCATACCAATCACGGTCTTCAACATCCTGTTCACCTTCCTGTACTTGTAACCGCCGAGCCCGATTAGGTAAGAGACAAAGAGTTCGAAAATCGCGAGATGATGACATCATTTTACAGTCAAGTAAGGAATGACAAACCTCCTGGGCACTGTAATCCCTCTCTGTAACCACCTTGCTGAGCATCTTCTGGAAGACTGCTCGGCTTGGTGTCTCGTCCTCAACCTGATTGGCAATTGCCTGCATGACGTCCCCAAAAGCAAGGCTGGGCTTTTCAGCCTTTGAGGCATACTTTGCCACGTAGGTGGCCACTGCATGGGGATCCGTGCAGGGCTGAATGTCGACGTTAGCCTGCCATCCAAGTGTAAATACTGGGTTGTATAGGTTGAGGAGGGGATCATTTCGAGGGATTGAGAGCTGTAGGATATCACGATCATTTGGAGCAAGTGAGGCTGTGGTGCAGAGAGGTCTGGGAAATCGAAACCGACAGATGGGCTCTGCTGTTGGTTCACTCCCCTTTGGTCGTTTGAGACAGTATTGAGAGCAACGAGTGTGGCGCTGGATACGGTTGAGATGCTCGGCCAAGGAAGTGTGATCATATGTCATATCTTCATGGGGACGAGAGGAAGGGTGTTTGGATGCTCGTGGTAGATCGATGCTTGGATTTATTGCTGACACCTTGTCTTTCCAATAGTCTATGAAGGACTGTTTCAGTTGGTCTCCTCCTTGTTTCAATCCCTCAACACTTGGACCATCTTCCAACCAGAGCAATCCGTGAATGTGGCCAGAGCCACGGCTTTGCCATTCATATCGAAGCCAAAAGTCTTTCACCTTGAGGAGTGGGGTAATGACATGGTGAAGAAAGAGAGTCGCCCTGCGTTGGATCCACCAGGCAACCTGAGCGGGGTTGGCATTGACATTGAGTGAGTTCAGTCGCTGTCGCATAGTTTCATCAGAGGGAGAAGTGTGGGTGCCGGACATGTGAGAATGTAGATCTGCCCACTGAAGGTCGGCAGCAGAAAGAGTGATGAAAGCATGTGGTGTTTTGAGTTGCCGGATCATGGTTTTAAGCTCTTGGCTTCTGGCAGCCCAATATGGTGGGGTCCCCCTCAATGTGCTGGCCGTTCGGCGAACTCGACGTGCAAGCTCTGTGGAGTCGGATTCCAGGAGTTGCTGTATGTCGGCAGCATTGAGTGCTTGATCATCATGATTTCGACTGACGTAATAGCCTGCTAGAGCACGAGCCTGCCACCTTAACAGAGCATTGAAAGCATAGTAGCTGAGATCAGCCAACTGGATGAGGAAGCTGGAAAAGGACTCACCGGAATCTGGGGTGGGCAGCAAAACGACCATCCTCATACTTCATCAGGTGTTTGAAGTAATCATTAGGTGAGACCTTATTTTGTCGAGTAGCATGGAGATCTGCAAGACCTTGAGGGAAGAGAAAAGGGAATGCGTTGATAAGGTGTTGACTTGTTTTATCATGTTCATAGAGAGGTGTGGGTCTCAAAGGTGGGGCTGTCATGGCTAGCCGTGTTGCTTCATCCATTTCCTCTAACATTGCCCTTGTTTCGTCTACCTCTCGAAGTCCACTACCCACATTTGGGACAATACCCTCAAGAACGATGTCCTCCCTGCCTTCATCCACAAACTCAGGGATGTCTGTTCCAATAGTTGTATTTCTTGTTGTTGTTGAGCGCAGTAGGTCAAAGACTGAACCATTTTCGGGGAGTGAGGCAAGAGCTTCATGATCAATTTCAATTGAGGAATAGCAAGGATGAAATCGGCGCAGAGCATGTAAATTATCAAGTAATCTTGTCCGAGATACCTGAAACTCCGGTCTATTGGAGAAAGCTGTCACATTTGAGAGTGGTGTCGATTTGTCCTTTATGATAAGCACATCAAGGTCTTGAGGAAGGAGGGGGAGCCGATTGACAAGAGAGGAGTTGTCTCTTGAAAAAAGACAGGTATGACCAGCATATTTTGTCTGGCCCCGCCCTGCTACTTGCCAGATCTGCAGTTGAACATGCACAAGAGACAAGAGCATTTCTTCAATTTGTGATGGAGGTTGTGGCGGGTCAATGTTGTTTTGCTGACAAAGGAGAGTGAGAGATGGTCCTGGTGGTCAGGTCTCTCCAAACAGGATATGGCAACTAACCGGGATCCATGTTGTTCTCCACTGTCATCTTTGAACTTCTTCCTCTCCTGCACCTTGCACATGTCCCTTCTCTAACATCAAGATCAAACCAGCGTTCGTTACATTTTTTACAGTGTTCCATCTGTATCTGTTCCAAAGCTTGATGAAAATTATCGATCAGAGCAACCTCAGATGGGAGGATGCAGGGAGTTGAAAGTAGAGTTGGGTCACATGTGATTTCTGGACGAGATAATGCTGGGGGGAGGGGCACTGGTGGAGGTAAGGCAGAAGGGATGGGGGGGAAGGCGGGGGTGTCTTCATTGTGACAAACTTCCTGCCGAACACGATATTGCTCTCTCTGTCTGTGTCGACAATCCGAGCATGCTTGAAACGGAGCAGACCTGCTTGGGTGTTGAAAATCACTTTCAGGTTTCCACTTCCGACATACCTTGCATTGTCTCTCTCCTTGATGTCGTATTTGTCGTGGTGGTGGGGGAGGTAGCGCATCCATGTCAGGTGGAGGAGTGGGTGGGGTGTCGTAGGGACGTCTAGGAGGGTGACGGTTCTGTCTGATTGGACGAGCAGGGGCCAATGGAGGTGGGGGGGGTCTCATAGGGGATGGGGATGGAGCACGAGAACCTGAAAGACGGGGTCGTGGTTGGGCTCGAAGTGATCCAGGGCTAAGATCAGATTGGTTGGGTGAGGTAGGTCGGTGATGTTCATTGCCTGACCTATCAGCACTTCGACAGTCCTGGCAGGCTCTTGTTGTCCACCCATGTGCACCTCGAAGGTGTGGAGAAGGAAAAACTGAGTGACAGAGGTTACATGTGAGGTTTCGATGGCGGGAAGAGGGAGTTGCAAGGAGTACAGGTTCTTTGTTACGGCAGAAGCAGCAACTCTTCCAAAATTTTTCACAGTCACGCCCTGAGCTAGCCTTGCGGAAGTGGGAGTGGTCCAATATTGTGGTAGAAGGGGCTAGACAGCGCCTTTTCTTGCTCAGATAGCAGTAGGATGGTGCTGCCATCTTAAGGATAGTAAGTGTAGCGTTGATTTTTCGTGGTGCAAGTCGTGAGCAACCAGAGCACTGATGGCAATCAACCAATCAGTGACTGGGAAAAAAAGTCAGGCACTGCGTAGAAATTGATTCCGTGTTCACCCCTATAGAATTGCGAGCTGACGCCCGCAATGAAACACGAACAAAGGAAACGAGTGTGGCAGCTAGCCCTGAGCGGTCAAAACCCCCGACCAGGGTGCCACATTCAAATGAGCATCTTCCGTGAAAACCGGGACTCGAAGTTTGCATGTCTTCTATGGCTCGTTCCCACTTGCTTGCATACCAATACTCCGCTGGACGATGACACTGCTCCCTTAAAAGAGAAGCATGTCGGACCCTAACGAAATCAGAATTGCTTGAAGGGGGAAAGATGACTTTGGAGGTCTTGAGCCTATTGGCCAACCGCTTTTCGATCCCGCCGTTGACGTTTGATCTGCTTGGCCTTGTTGGTGGCTTGCCGGTCACCAAAGCCAGAGTCGTGCATTTCCTGATGTCAGTGTAGGCCTCGCCTCTAGAATAGATTCAGACATGATCAAATTTCCGAGAAGGCACTGAGCACGGATGGGGATGCAAGGGATATGTAGCCCCATGGGAAGAACTCACCATCGTGGCCATTCTTCGAGCCAAAGAGACCTGATTGAGTTTCTCCAATACTGTTTCCTCCGGAAGAGTAAGCTCCGCCATCCGTACCCCTATCTCATCCTCGATCATCTTGACCAGTTCCACATCCCTTTCGGTGACGATAGTGACCGCCACACCGCCTCTTCCCGCTCTAGCTGTTCGACCGACTCTGTGGACATAATCATCAGATCGTCGAGGACAATCCCAATTGATCACCATGGCCACTTCCGGTATGTCCAACCCACGCGAACCAACGTCGGTAGTCACCAAGATTGGTACTTCCCCAGCTCTGAAGCGGGATAGAGATAGAAGCCGTTGTGGCTGAGAGAGATGTGAATGAAGTGGGACGGAAGGCAGGTCGAGAGAGTTGAGAAGGAGGTGTAGGAGATGAGCAGTAGCGCATCTTTGGGTGAAGATAATCGTTGAAGGTATATGGACGGCAGGTTCTGGATCGTCTTCTTCGTTTTTGGGACGAGATTTACGTTTCTTACTTTCGGATACAGATTTTACATTGATGGGAGAGACTCGGAGAGCGGTGTCGATATCTGAAGGGGGATTGAGGAGTAGGTGGTATAGATAGGGGTCGCGGACTTGACTAGGGATGAATAGATATTTTTGCTTAAGATTCGTGACTGTCAAGGTACTGTCTATGAATTGAAGTACCACATAATGAAGCTTCACTCACTCTGATTTGACTCGGTAGACAAAAGGGGGTTGCTTGCCAGAAGTCGGTGGTCTCTTCGCGAGATCCATGATGGCTTCGCTGACCGTGGCGGTAAACAGACATGTTTGTCGCTTTGTGGGCATCTGGGCAAAGAGATATGCTAGATCAGGAGCAAAAGTAGGTGTAAGAAGTCGATCCGCTTCATCCAAAACCTATGTATCAACTTGACTTCACTCCTCTAATATGGAGACAGTGCGCGAAAAGTACAAGAATTTCATGAAAGAGACGCTCACCAAAGTTTTGACCCTACTCAGCTTGCCTGTACTCATCCCATCACTTCTGAGCAAATCACACAGTCTTCCAGGGGTAGCAACAACCACATGTGGTCTCGCCTCTAACTCTTTCGCTTGCTGTAGCATATCCATTCCTCCCACCACGGTGATGGTGTTCAGTCCTAGGGGTTTACCAACCACCAAGAATTGCTCAGACAGTTGATATGCTAGCTCTCTGACATATCAGCAGGCTCATATCATTTCGGTAACAACTGACCTGGTGGGAGTCAAGATCACAGCCCATACGCCAAAGGGATCCCGCGCTATACGTTCCACGATTGGTAAAGCGAAGGCCAGCGTTTTACCACTACCTGTTTTGGCACCACCTATCACGTCCCGTCCTGAAATATCAGCCTGTATCCAGTATGACCAGGAAAGGGAATCAACTCACCAGCCAGCATGGGACCGATACAAGCTGATTGAATCTCAGTTGGGTGGCGGATGTTGATTGTTGCTAAAGCTGCGATGAGGGGTTTTGACAGACCGAGTGATTCGAATGAGGTTCTAGTTGTTGTGACAGGATCAATGGCGGATGAAGGGGGCTTAGGTGCGGAGCTAGTGGAGGGAAGGGGAAGTTTGACTCTTGACAAGGATTTTGATATGGGTGATTCCTCACGTTTTTTCGACCGGGAAGGAAGAGAGCGACTGGAAGATCCCCCTTCATCATCTAAGGATAACGGTGTGGGAGATGAGATTCCATGTTTCTGAGCTATTGAGTGTTTTGTCGAGCTACTTGAGGCACTTGAGACACTACCTTCATCGCTGCTTTCTCCTCTTAGATCCTCTCCATCTGAACTGGCCGCTGAATCCTCGCTATCCGATATCATCCGACCCTTCCCTTTACCCGCGGCAAGCATGGCTTTCATGATCTCATCTTGATCCAACATTATCTCCGCTCTCTTGATAGACGCTATGGGATGCTTGGTTTTTCGCCCACTCATGGCGCAAGGATGTGGTCTAGAAGGGAAAAGTTTTTCTCTCTCAGTGGGTGTGGGGTGATGTGAATGCGGAGCCCCGGATTCAAGAGCTGAGCTTGCGTCGTCGTCACCGCTGACCCGGCCTCGCATCTATGGTCTTCCTCATCCTTCTTACACTCGCAATGGCACTGACATAGTCTCTATTTTCGCTTTCCAGACACTCCAGGTCTACCTGGAAACATGGCTCCATCTGTAGGATCTTCCAATACCACTCAATCCAAGGTCAACGTGGTCGAACCCCCCGTGGTGCCTTCACAAGATCTCGTCAATTCTCTGCCCGCGCCGGTCCTTCGATTACTAATAATCTTCTCTCGTCCTATATCTTTACTTCGTCATCTCATCGAGGTCATATTCTGGAAATCTGCAAGAAGAGCCGAAAGCTGGATAGTCATTTTATCGTGGTGGGGACTATGTTTAGGACTTCAGTATTCCTTCAAGTTCGTTTGCATTCCTTTTCCTCTGTATTCCGAATTCAAACTGACGATATCAGATATCTACTGCCATTATTTCTGTTTCTACCATTATTACCTCTGGAAAAGTTGCGATTGGCTAAGAAAGAAGAGAAGAAACCAGTCAAACCTTCTACTCCGGATACTCTTCTCATCACATTTTCTGACCTTCATGCGATTTACGCTCTCTTGCCTCCTTCGCCACTCCCCACCGCTTCGGCCATCTACGCTAGATTTCAGCAACTAGGATCAAGACGAATTGTCCGAGGATTTTCGGTCATATGGATCACATGGCTTGTGCTCGTGAAACTTCTCGGCCCTCGAATTCTATTAGCGGTGGTTGGTTCAATACTCCTACTTCTCCCTTCTCCTGTACTCGCCCACACCATTAACCTTCTTTCCAAATCCCTCATCGTGCGTAGATCCGTCGCTCTCGCCTTTTTATTCACTTTTGGTTCTCCACCGGAATACTCTTATCGACTTTCCACATCGTTTTCTCCATGGCAATGGCTCAAGAGCAAATGGACGGCTTCACGTCGACCTTCTTTCCTCTTCACATCCCGACCCAAGTTATCTAGCGAGAAAGTACCTGAACACGCTATCGATGATCACGAAGAAAATGAAGATATCAAAAATGGCGATCCTCTTTATTTCCGATTTGAAGTACATGAGAATCAAAGATGGTGGATGGGATTAGATTGGACTAGTGCTCTTCTTCCACAAGAAAGGCCAAGTTGGTATGTCTAATCACCCAGAATGAGAAATCGAGATTGCTGATTGGAATTCAGGTGTGATTCACATCTCTTACCCGTCACACCTCCACCTTCCTTCCCCTTACCTTCTTCATCTTCTATCATATTACCCGCGCCCACTCGCTCGGATCCGGATGCTAAAATCAAACGCATTGCCACTTGGCGATGGGTTGACGACGACTGGACCATCGTTCGTTCTGGTCCTTCTGCTCCTCCAACTGCTCCGCCCCCTACACTTCCCACTTCGCCAACACTACCTACAAGTCCAGATGATATTTCCAGCAGAAGCATGCAAAGATCAACTTCCAGTACAGGTACAAACTCTTTCACTTCGCCCCCCTCAACATCAAGCGCAGTAATGGACGATACTCATCATCCTGTCGGAGCAGTGGGTAGTGCATCGGCCAGAGCACAATCATTGGCCGAACAAGCCTTCGCTAAGGGCCTGGAGAAATTGAAAGCGAGAACCGCGAGTCCATCAACCACTAAAGGAGTTAGAACTAGCGGTGAGATGCAACGTCCTCGAACGGGAAGTCAAGATAGTGTGGATGTGTTGAAACAAGAAGGAGATGTTACACCTACCGTCTCTTCTTTGCCTGCGTCATCTGCTCCTGCAGTACCTTTGGAAACTATTCCCGATAAAGATGATGTGAGTCCATACTCTTTATCCTATTCTTTGATCCGAGTGGCCAAAGTTTCCTCCGTTATTCATATTCGAAAAAAAAGGATTAGGGGACTGACTTCAGGCTACCGATCCTGATGGTTGGGTATATGGAGATAACAAATGGGAGAATATGGGACCTCGTGGTGGTCTTGGAAAAGTATGTATTCTCCCTCTTCCTCTTTACAGAGCTATCATCTGACTTGTAGTTCACTAGACGAAGAAGATGGCATCGTCGTGCCGTGTGTGAAGAGAGTATACAGCGTCTTCCCTCTGTACCAGTGGAAACTCCTCCCGTTAAATCAGTCGAAACTCCGATTTCTCCTTCACCGTCATCTCCACTCAAAGCTGCTCCAAGTACCAGTACATCAGAAATCAAAATGTCCCCTTCTCGTTCCTCCTCTGAAAAGCTGTTTCAACACTTTGAAGGCGTCTTGATGACACCTACGAAGGATGAATCGAGGGATGATCGATTACGTATGAGATTAAAGAAAGCTATGGGTTCAGCAGGTGGTTAATCGTCGTTCTCATCAAATGACAATACGATGAGGGTATGAAAAGAAAACTGTATCTACTGTATCGTTGCACTTGTCCGTAGTCAAATTTCACAAGTATATTTTTCGATGAATAATAATCAGAAAGATGCATACACAAGAAAACCCCATCGAAGTACATTTCACACTTTAGCAAGTAATAATAATTCAAGACAAAAGGTTTTCATACAATACAAATGATGCACAGCATACCACACTTGTTTTTCTGGTTAATCACTCTCTTCAAAGGGTCATATCTCCCACATTCGCCCTCAGAGCGTCCCGACGAACATTATGTCCACCCTTTTTCTTGTTTTTTATACCCGAAACGAAGTCGAGATTACGTTTCGACGTTTACAAGTTTTTGCACCTTTCTCTTTACTTCCTCCACCATTCCCACCATTTCCTCCTTGACCTCCAGACCCGCTGGTGATATTCCCAGTTGCAATATCATTACTACCTCCGGTCGTTCCTGGAGAAACACTGGTCATGGAAGATGTACCTCCACCCCCACCAGGTGACATACCACCGGTATGAGTTGCTTGAGAAGCGGAAGTTGAAGATGACATGGTATCGTTCGACATTACAGGAGGGGTAGAACCACCTCCACCGCTATTGGGTTTCACATCGGATGTGTTGTAGAGATCTGTTTGAGCACCATCCATGAAACCGTATTCATTGTTATCTATAAAATCAGCAAAAGGATCAGAAAGACAGAGGTCAGGAGAGCGGACGTACAGAATGGAGGGTCGTAGTAATCTTGGAAATTGTTGTTCTGCCTGAAGGGTCAACTTGATATTTCTTATTATCACCATCAGATAGAACTTAACGATCGATCATTGATTGGACACGAGTGGAGATTAAGTGTCAGAAGAATATCATGGGGAGAAAAGACTGTGGTAGTTGAACGATCTAAGAATCGTATGATCAAAGAAGGATCATGTCGATGAGTGAGATACTTGATTGAGCGAAGGATTTGAGAGGAGGAAGAGGTAAAACTTACTCCTTTTGCAACCAATAATGCGGGAATCTAGGTCCGACGGTACAATTCGAAGTATCGGTCGGATAATCGCACTTGTTCGCGGTCTTTCCTACTCTGATCAGTTTGTGTTCCAAAACATCAAAAAAATAACTCTGTTAAAGAAATCACGAAAATGACTGTAAAGTATACAGTGATCGTACACTCTGCTCCTACTGAAGAAGAGAGAAACGAGTAAAGGTGAAGAGAGAAAAAAAGAAGAAAAACTCACCAGGAGGTAGAGGAACGGTGTTGGTGGTATCGGTAACATTACATTTATATCCATTGAAATAGATTTGTTCTCCTCCTGATAATTGACTGTGTACCCAGTGCCAAGCGCAATGACAACCTCCAGGTGGACAAGGTGGAAGATCAGGTGGGATATGAAAAGTGATATTTTTTTCCCATGGACATTGATAAATGACCGAAATAACAACGAAATCTTCAGTGGTGATGGAATAAACGTCACTTTTGTATGCTATGGATAAAGCACAACCTTTGACATCGGTAGGATTTGAAGAACCGTATGTGTCCGTGGTATGAAGAGGACCTATGGTGTCGCAAGCATATGGAACTTTTCGAAGTGGATTATTGGGATCACCATACGATGTCAATGCTTTGTTACATCCTAATTCACCGTTCAACGTTCCCCCGGCGGGAAGAATGAGCATCTCTCCGTCGGCGGGAGGATTACTGATATTTCCGTGAAACCACCATTGATCAAAAGTGAGGTTGTAAAGAGGATTGACTAAATCTTCTTGGTTGGGATTGAGAGCGTCATATCTATAACATCAACATCGATTATCTCTACTTCTTCTATAGTCTTTATTTTTCAACGGGCACATAATACCACGGCTGGATGTTGTGTCTTCATCGACAAAGTTCAGAGATTAAGAGATGATCAGAAGACGATAGGAAAGACCTCACTTACCCATACGCAGATGGATGCCACATTGTCACATGAGCGATAGTCTGACTTAAGAATACCAAGACCGAGACCAGCTCGACTAGTCTAGACATCATGTTGTTGTACGAGAATTGTAAATTTGTACGAAAAATAAATTGAGGGAATGTGTTGTGAAAGAGTGTACGTATCGACTTTACAAAAGTGCTCAGCACTCAGACAGAAGTTGTGGTGATATGACAAAGAAGATGAAGGGAAAATGACTCTAATCAAGAGTCTTTAAAATACAATTCTATCCACGAAATATATTCGTCAGAAAGGTCAGAAAGGTGAGAAAGATACAAAGTTTAGTGTACAATCGAAAGATGAAAGGGACATGATTTCGAGGCACCAAATGGGAGTTTCCATAGATGAACAAGGGGGAGAATGAGAAAGAATGGGTGAGAACTTTGTGTCATGTTGAAAGGATTCAAAAAGACTTTCAGAACAAACTAAAGGACCGTGCTACATGCTACACGTATTTGTATATCTTCAAACGTCAAGGGGTGAGAGTTTCAAAACTTGTTTGGTCTTCGGGTTTGACGCGATGGTATCCCGTTGAAGTCATAAGGATGACCGATATTCTCACGTCTATCTTTCAGGTTGATACTCATGATTCTTTGATACGTGTCCTTCAGCCGGGTTAAATGATTGGATTAGGAGGAGACTGTGAGAAGATGTCGGATGCTTTTTCAAGACGAAACAAAGTCGAGGTGGGGGGTGATCGGAGCATGGTCGCCGCGGCGCCGCGGAATGAAATCTCCGTTCACGTGACTTTACACTTTCTCTGAATTGTCATTCGACCACTTACTCGTACATATAGTCAAGGCATGAAATGAGAAAGCAATGTGAGTACCCAGGAAAGATATGCACGATATATAATTTATACAGTGAATGACTATGGTGAATGTCCCCAAAATTCATCTTAGAGATCATCCTACAAGGCTTGGAAGTTGATAGCGTGAAGAGCTCGTCTACGTTCCTTCTCATCTTCTTTCTGTACCATCAGTACAGACCTCAAACTCGTGAATGAATGAGAATGGAGAAACCTCCTTAAGGGCACAATTCCCATGGCCGATAGTTGTACTGAGTATGTAGAGAAGCAACCATAGAATTGTTGATGACCCCAACTCACCTTCTCACGCTCGTTCAGGCCAAACACCACGATTGCCAATATGATGACCGTACCTATTACCGCCGCACCGACCCATGGAACCCAATCCCCAGGATGTAGATACAATTCCGACCTCCATTCCGTTGACCTGACCTTCCCTGGTGATTCTGAATCTCCCGTATCGGGGAAAGGAGGGTTGATGATGATTTGAGAATTAGGAATGAGAGATTCGAGATCTGTTGTGTGACCAGGAGGATGAAGGGATGTGCCCACTGTCAGGCGCTGATGATCAGCATTCTCACATTATGTGGCACCGACTTGCTACTCTACTCCAAGAGGGTATATGTCGATGATGTTATGTATGAGATGATTGAGTCCAAGTGCGAAAAGGCTCACCTCTACGTAGTTGTTCGTCCTTCCAAGACCGAAAAACGCATACGGTGTACCCAGAGCGTGGTAGCCTGTTTGAGGGAGTTGTGCTACTTGTTGTGCCACCCTCCGACCAAGTGTATCCTGTACGGTGAATTTGAATGTCGCGCCCCCATAGCTGACCCCGAGAGGCTGGCGGTTAATTCGAAATCCAATTGAAATATGTCGGTGAAGGAGCTTACACTGTATTTTCTTGCTTCAATGGTCTCGCACTCCCCTTGACATGCCCCATTCAACACTATCAAATCAGCACCAGTCCTACTCTGAGTCACAATTGCCCACCTTGTGCTTTGAGGAAGAACGCGTCATGATAGAAATTGTTCTGTACGACAGTGACCAGTCCTTCTCCCTGTGCATTTGTCCTCTGTACCAGAATGTCCAACGATCCCTGTCAATTAGCTCATCAGCACAAGCTGAACATGACAAATAACAAACATCATCATCCAAGTCCATCCAGCTGGCACCGCTCGCATCCCAAATACCATCCAAAGCCGTCCATCCTTTCCCTGATCCGACTCTCAATCCTCTCTTTCTTTTGCTACCTTTCTCGCATCCGGCAACACCTTTCCCGCATGGTACATTTTCCAATATTTTCACCTGATGACCGGCATGTCTCGATGAACCGAATGGACCTCCTGTCGGTGGAGCGGCCGTGGAGTTGGCAATAGTGATGAGCAGATCGGGGAAACCATTAACGTTGAAATCTCCCGGACGGATAGGAAGAGGGATACTCCTTGCATGAGGAGGATGAAGGAGGAGATCACCGTCACCGATTGAGTTCTCCAACAACGTCGACAGGGGCACTGACAGCATACTCTGTGTCTCATCAGCTCCAACTCCGCCGAATGTTTGTTACAATCCAAGCTTACCTCACTCGAAGAGTCGAAGGAGAATGAAAAGTTTTCGTCTCGAGTACATAATTCTCCCCAGCCACGACATTTCAAACTCCCATCTTTGGTATTCTGTGACCGCTCAGTGGAACAAATGGGGACTTGTTGATTATATGCTATGTTGATGCTGCAGTCACTACCCAGTCCAGTGGACGAAGAATGCCCAGAACATGTGGGGAAGATTATGTCTATGGATCCATCACGATCTTCTCATCAGCGACATGAAAAGACAGCGTGGAAGAAACTAACTCATGTCCGCGAATGAGAGTGGACCACTACCTTTAGGAAGATCATACGTTCTAGCCAAGGCGAAACCAGCTTCACCATGATTCAGCCAGATCTGAATGGAATGATGAGAAGTATGTGGTTGAGTGCAATGAAGAATGATATCTTTCAGTCAGCATCCGGTGGCTGATTACACCAAGGTATGAGCTTACCTGGTAAACAATCACCGTCTATATCTAAGAAAGCACTAGAATGGAGACTGGCTGGTACACAAGCTTCTTCGGGTGTCTGGAGAGGTGGCGCTAATCTGCATCACTCAGTACACATCTTCCTATACGACGTGCGTAAGAAATGTCACATGAAAAAACTTACAATGTGAACCCAGAGCCAGTATTCTTCCATACTTTGACCAGATTATCCCCAGCTTCATCCTCCTGAAATCCAAGTAAGGAAGGTCTCAACGATCCATCAGCGTCAAATACGAGAGGCTGAGCCATAGTGGAGCTAGGTATGGCCCAAGGATCCGTTTCTGACATTCAACTTTTTAAACGTCATTCTTCAAGCGGGACTTACGAAACCCCCCGTCCACTCCTCCTCCAATATACACTTGCATTCCCAGTCTTATCTTGTCACCACCCCACCATCCTCCATCGGATTTGTCCTCATACATGACCAGAAGGTCGAGCTGACCGTCATGGTTGTAATCGCCAGGGACGACGTTAATGATATTGGAAGAAAGGGTGACGCTGTGAGAAGGGAGAAATTTAAATGATTCTAATTATCAACATTTGCAAAACATTCAGGTACTTTGACTTGAAACATTTGGAGCCTCTAAAATGACATGAAAGAAAATCGGGGGAAGAACGAAGTGAACGAACCTCTATTCCAGAGATATAGTTGTACCGACTTCTGGTCTTTACTGAGAATGAAGAGATCCGAGCTATCATCAGCCGTTTCCCATTTCCATCCCACACACTCCAAAGGAGATTTCCTTCATTTGAACGTAAGTCATACAGTGGTATTGAATGGTAGAATGGTAAGACAATGCATGGAGAACTCACTGTTGATCACCGTTCCAATCGCCCATCGCTATCACCCTCCCCGTGGCATCTTCCAATCCCAAAGGCCCAGCATCGATGAACGCTTCCGCCACGAATCGTTTTTGCTTGAATGGCCATAATGCTCTTGTAGGTAGAGCGAAGATAGTCAGTACTGGTAGCGTCAGCGCTATCTTGAACCTCATCGAGGTGACATGGAGAGAGATGAAACGAGAAGTAGGTGGTAGTTAGATGTTGAGGCGATTTTGAGTACGCCCGGTGCCTGAGTTGACACCTGTCCAATGTCGTCAATGTTCCTCCAGTATCACTTTGACTTTTCCACCTTTACTCATATAATCCTAAGGCTCTCTTCAGGAAGTCCCAAGCGGCGAGCTGTCTCTGGCTGTCGGGGTGGTCGCGGCGATGACTCTCGAGAATAACGCCGAAGCAGGTCCATCACGGATTATGGATTTCGGACGAGCACCCAGAGTGAGCCAGATAGATTCAGATGAGCTAGACGAAGGTCTGGTATCAATGTTGGGAGAACGGGTGCATCAAGGTCTTAACAACTTTAAAGTCTGTACATTTCTCGAGAAAATATCTCATCTACCTTCTGCTCCCATGCCCTCATTTGGATGAATGTCGTTTAGATGCTGACTTCTAGTCTATCCAAGATTGGGACTTAAAACCAGAAATCGCTTTAGTGCTCAAACTCGTCATATTCCGATATGGTATATTCTCAGACTTCACTTCCCCGGGATCCAAGCTACAAAACCTGCGACTTGCTTCATCTTGCACCCGCACCGGTAAACGTGAGCTCTCATATTACTGGACCAAGCTGAAGGAGCTGACTTGAAAAGCCACAAAACGGACGTTGCTGCTGTATCTCTTGTTACACCCACCTATATTCCCTACTTATCTCTTGACTCGTCTAAGACAATACGCCTTGTCTAAAAGATGGCCCGATCGACCGTCTGATGATTGGAGGAGAAGGGCTTGGAGAATGTTAGTAAGGGTAGAGAATATCGCTCGAGCCTGGGAACTTCTAGGCTGGGGTATGTTCCTCTGGGACGGAAGGTAAGTTTCCCTTCTTCCCTCCTATACATCATGTGGAAGTAAGCTTTGAGATTGATGTACAGATATCCATCTTTACTCATGCGAATTCTGGGATTGAGACTTGTTCCTTCCTCCCCACATGTCACTCGTCTAGTCTCTTACGAATTTATGAACCGTCAGCTGGTTTGGGGTGCTTTAACGGTAGGTCCTTCGTCTTCCATTTTTATGTAATCAAACTGACGAAGTTAGGAGTTCTTGATGTTCTCTGTGCCACTTTTCCCCACTTTACCGACTTTTCTGACTCCTTCTACTCTCCTTCAACCTCTCAAGAACTTCCTCACTCAAGAAATCTCGATAGACTACACATCTCTTCCTTCTGTCACTCCGCAATCGATCGAGCAAACTACGAAAGCCCATTCGGGGGAATATGCAAATTTACCTCTGTCGACTTGTCCACTATGTTATCGTCGTATTCACTCCAAGCCCGCACCTATCACATCTATGACCACATCGATTCAACTACCTCCAATATCCATCGATCAAGAGGAGGAGGATGAAGAAACGAGGATATACGTACCTGCTCAAACGGATTGCTGGGGCGAGTGTAAATGGTGTTATTATTGTATAGCAGATGAACTTGTCCGACATCGACACGAGCTCACAAAGCACCAGAGGTCAAGTAGAAAAGGAAGCGAAGAGGATGAGAGTTGGATTTGTCTTCGATGCGGAGGAGCGGTCACAACGTCAAGGAGAGCAATCCCGGAACTACAATCTTTCAATCGTGAGGAACATGAGAGGGAAGAGGAAATTCAGTAAAGCTCGAAAGTAGGTAGGAGCTACCTAGATGATTTATTCATGCAATACCGAATATCTGTTCCCTCTCGTTCCTTCTATCCTCTTTCACGAAGAAAGATCTACATGACCGCTTTACTCTTCCAACTCGAAATCATAGGCCATCACTTCGGTTGCATTGGGCTTGATGTGTTTCTCCACGCAAGAGACGTGCGCTTCCGATACGGCGTATTTCTGTAAAGCTTCATGAGATGAGAAGATGGAATATAGACCATAGTCAAAGCCTTTAGCTCGAGCGTCGAGCAAAGGGGGACCGAGATGCATCTCTCAGTCAGCGAAGTCCCTCGTCAAGAGATATTCCAAATGTTCAGATGGGCAGTCAAAAGTCTGTCAGATGAAGGTATATGACGAGTCACTGCAAAGGGAAGATGATTGGTGTAGTGTAGAAGTAGGAGAAGCTGCGTACGAGTTCAGCACCAGGGACGGATTTGAGATGCTCGAAAGCCGCTTTGGCAGGACCGATAGGTTGGCGAAGTTTCCAAAGAACGATATGAACGATTTCTTTTTGTCAGCGGGTCCTTTTCCAGATACTATGTCCGTTATGAGTGAAGGATACGACGACTTACTGCCCATTTTGATAGAATTAGATGTGTAGGTCGGCTAGATGATGAAGATATGGAAGTGGAATTTAAATTGAGAGACGAGGCGTCGATACCGGTGATTCGATTCGAATCTCGGACAAATCCCGATGATCGGAACCCGGAACTCGCCGTCCGTATCACGTCACCCCAAACCATCTCTCTCCTCTAACATCTAGAGTACGTGACTGTCTTTTGGGATGGATCAGAGGTCAAAAGTTTGGAATTGATACCTACTCAAGACACTTGCTAATCAAGTGGTATAAAGGCGACTCATGGTCCTCAAAGATTCGGGCCGGTAAATGGGGAGAAGTAGTTTTGGAAAGATATGACCCGTCTTTCTCTTCATCTTCCTCTCTCTGCTCTTTTACCTCCCAAAGACGATCCCCATTCTATTCCACTCCACCCTCTACCCTCCCCTGCTGTCATCGTTGGACCTCTTCCTCCAACTTCTCCTCTACATCTATCATTGCAATATCTCGCCTTGTCTGACATACCGGAATTCCATCGACCATCCCGGCACCGAGAGAGGGTTCTGATATTGACCGGATCAAAAGATAGCTTCCGACATTCTTTGGAAGAAGAGGATGAAGATTGGTTTCGGGACCATGGGGTGGATTACGATGTACTTTATCGACTTAGAAGAGTTGACATGAGGTACGCAATCCATTTTCAGCCGATGATCCACCTTTGATATATGTAGATTTTGTCCTTCACCTCAACATCTAATGATGATGCTTGTGCTTCTAAGTGTCGGAGAAGGTACAGAACCTCATAAAGTCTCTCAACAACCTGGCATGATCATCTTATGGGATATAGCGGGAATGTTCATGGAAGAAGTTGAAGGTGATGAGAATGAACCTCAAACTTGTCATCCGGAACATGAACAAAGGTTCAGGTCAGAGTGAGTGGATCATCACCCTATGTGCATGATTGACTTTTTAGAGCTTGTATATCGGATTATCTCAGTCTTTTATCTGCGGCTCGGACTACTATCTCGCAGATGCCATCCCCAGAGTACGTCATGGAACATTGATGGAGAACACACTGTTGACCGAATAGCATATCATCGATTCGTTTGATTATTTTGGAACCTCATCTTTCAGCCACAAGTGCCATGCCTATCTTCCCTGTAAGACCCACAGACGAGAACGATCCTATGCCCCGAGCGACGCGCGAAAGAAGGGTGATGGTGATGGAAGGTCTCACAAAGTTGTTTGGGAGACAAGCGATTGGTCAAGTGAACAGTCTATGTAAATCAGCTACATCTGGAGAGATCTGAGAACTGACATGCCAGCTTCCGAGTCAGACTTACGAGATGGATCTTCGTATTCCCTGAATCTCGACATGTATCCGGGGGAGATATTTCAAATGAGACGACGACGATGTGGGAGAGCCGAATGGGCAGGAGCGACGGTAGTTGGACCAGATGAGGGAGTAGATGGCGATTTAGGTGGATGGCGATGGGGATTTGTCTAATATCCTCTCCTCGGTCTCCGATCCTCTTCTCTCATCCATCAGGGGTTCGACATCGAGCAGTCAGCAGACCAGTAACGACTAGATAATGACATGACATCATGAGCCATCTGTCCGTCTTGCATTCCACCAAGATTTTCCATAACTGACCAAAACCTCTTCCCCCTTTCCCAACCCTTTCTTCAATGACCAAATCTCCATCCTCACTTCTCCACCCTCGCCTGTCCCTATCCTGAACTCGGCATTCGGACTCACAGCTATCCCCCGATAGTCATTGACGAACCTCGCTGCGTTTCCTGCTTTCGCAGCGTCAACACCGATAGATACGTGCCAACCTTTTCTCGGGTTGTTGGGATCATGAGAGGATATACGGACTAGAGAAAGATCGTAGTCACTCTCTTGTTCCTCATCTACCGCTGTGTCTCCTGCTTCAGAGGGAGAATTGGGATCGTCGAGGGGAATGAAAGTGTGATGTATGATACCAAGATAGGGGATGATAAGCTCAGAGGGAGAAATACGTCGTTTAGTGAAAAGGCCGTATTGTCCATGAGCGGGATGAGAGGGATCGAGAATAGGTTTGATAGATAGATGGGAGGGATGAGGGACAGGTCGGGGTTGGAATTTGACCAGAGAGGGAGGTTGGTAGAGAAGAGGTAAGAGGTCAGGGGGAAAGTTAGGAGAGATCAAACTTCTAGTGATAAACTTCAACATTGGAGGCCAGTGAGGAGGGGGAGAGGTCGGATCTGACCGGGTCGGCATGAAAGATAAGGTAGAAGGGTTGGGAGGTGGAGAGAGAAAGACGAAAATGATCGGAAAGCAATATGTACATGTGGCATGTGGCGGTTGGATATGGAGTGGCGGTTTGACTACATAAATGGACGACAAGTTATCAATGGTGGTGTGCGTCATGTATGACTTTGAGGGACTCTTGGCAGAACATGCATGGTAAGATGGTCAAAAGTCAAACAGATGCTTGAAGATAATGACAAAAGTATGTACATAGCCCCGAACGACATGATTCAAACTCGTAGCGGTCATTCCCTTTCAATTTGTTATCTCATTGAACATCGTCTATGAAAAGGGCTACCTTATGCGTAGGCGATACGAGTTTGTTGATTGAGGCTTCTAAGTAGCCATAACAGTATCCACTGGGGAGGATCTGTCAGATTGAGAGTCACTTGATTGTCGAGGTTCTTCGACGATTCTGGAGGAGGAAGCTTGATGAGGTTGACGCAACTGGTCCAAGAGGGAAGAGGAACTTCCTTGTTGTCATGATTGGGCTCTGCTGGTGGTGTACAATTAGGTGATGGCTCATCGTTCTCCTGTGAAACAATGCCTCCAGATTCTACTGACTGAATGGCAGCTATTGTTATACAGCTGCAGTTACCAGTGGACATAGCTTCTGTATCTTGATGTGTTGTAATTGGGGTTGCCGTCATGACAACATCAAAATACATATCCTTCACTTTACCTAAAGAGAGAGGTGAGTAAAGGGTAGGCAATCCGTCTTGACTTCCAGTGCCCTTGTAGGTCTTGACTACCTGTCTTCTCAGTTATGGTCACCTTCTGACAGCATGGTTTCATGTCAAGCTTCCTCAATGATATACCTCTAAAAGGGAGAAAACATGTCCAATCATTGAGAGACAGGGAATGAAGCTTCCTCGCTTACATCTCGACGTCGTAAGTTGGAAAGCTCATGATCCAGAGCATTTAGTGCAGCAATCTGTTTAGTATAAGTGTCAATCAATGATGATCTCACCTCTTTGTTACGGGGTAACAACGAATCGAGAGGACTCTATCGAGTTCGACGGATTAGGACAGAGAAAAGCGGGAGTTGGAGGCAGTGCTGCAGTAGGTAGGGACGGGTTTTCCCCTTTCGAGATTTTCCCCACTGGGTTTGCTCAAAGCGGTTTTTCACCTGTCCGAGTATGTACATAGACGCTTGCAGTAGAACTGAGAGGAGGACACGGACACCTGTAGACAGTATATAGTACAATCAGCAAAGTACCAACTTTGCTGATTCTTCAATATCATTCTTTGGCTACATCGATTGCAGAGGAGACACGATCCATCACATAGCACCAGAGACACATAGATTTCTACGAGACTTCCATCGAGTTTGACCCAACCTGCGACCTAGTCATCGTGTTTCCAGTACCGTTACAAGTTGAAAAATCAGCCTTACGCGCCTTGGGTCAAAGTGGAGAGTATTGCATGCTTACCAGAGGGAAAGCGCGGAAAATGATACCGGAAAAAGAGGAATTGGAACAAGGGCTGGTCCCAGAGGTAGAAATACCAACAAGTTCTTCGAGAAGTACTATTTCACATGATCTCACTTCTACCACCACTACCCCAGATCCGCTGAATGAATTATCGCAGCAGTTGTCACAATTATTAGCCATTATGACGATGCAACAAAAGGAACAAAATGCATTAAGGGAAGAACTGGCTACGATCAAGGCTGACCGACAGAACCAACAGCTACTCACCTCAAAAGGGGCAAGTTCGATCGAAATTGAAGAGAAAAAGCCGTGTGTGGAGCCAAAACTTACCAACAACGAACGAATAGGAAGAACCAGGTGTGCGGACCCACCTACTTTCAGTGGAGAACGAGGGGAATTGGACAATTTCCTTGCAGCATGCCACATGAACTTCGAATTCAAAGGGGCAGAGTACGCCACCGATCGCAGAAAGATCCTGTTCATGTACGGTTACCTACGGGGCACCCCTCAAATGCTCTTAACTCCGGCCATAACCAACCCAAGTATATGGAATTCGACCGAGTGGCTAGAGACTTACGATAAGATCATTCAACACTTAAGAACACAATTCGGGGACAGCAACATGGCGGGTACCGCTATGCGGAAACTACAAGAGTTACAACAGACCGACACCGCAGCGGAATATTTTGCAAACTTTGAATTATGGTCGACTCATCTCGGAAAGGTACCCGATGCGATGAAAATCGCATCAGCCATACAGGGCCTGAAAGAAGAACTATTGAAGGTGGTAGTGGTGAATAACACCGACCCTCGAACCAAATCGGATTGGATCTACTTCAAGCAACACGTAATAGGAACCGAGGAGAATCAACGGATGGCTGAAACGATGATTGCAGCAAACCGATGGGCGGCTAGGCGTAAAAATGAAACGACATGGATCCCCTTACGATCGAACTCGACACGATTGGATAGTAATCTTTCGAACCCTGTGCAACACAACCCGCATTCAGGTGGTAAAGGACCACTACCAGGTGGAAAACCAGGGATGATGAATTTTGGTCTACCAAATGACCCTCCGGTCACTTGGACAGAGGACGGAGGACGCCTCAGTGAGAATGAAATGAACTGGAGAAGGGAGAACCGACGCTGCCTCAAATGTAGAAGTCCAGAACATTATGCCAACAACTGTCCAAATGGAGGAAACACGAGAAACAGTATTAGGGGATCCCCAAACCCGCATAGCTCACCAATTCCTAGTGGATCGAACTCGATTCCAACTGGATCTAAGGGGCCACTAGTTTGAGGGATGGCGGTGACCTTTGAAGATGAGGGAAACGACTACCTGGCCTAAGTGATGCGACCACTTGCGGCCAGGATCTAACAGAATCGCACAAAATTCAACTACCAATAGATCTTAGTAACGACTCGGCTATAATATACATAAAAATACAGACAGAAGAAGATACCCTACGATTTGGAATGTTAATTGATACCGGGGCTACCGGAAGGTATGTACAGCCGGCCTGTCCATTATACCATCTATTCCCAAAGAGACAGTATCAGGAACCACGGAAGATTAGGTTCCTCGATGGAACAACCGCGACGTTAGTGACCGAGTATGTAGAAGCCGAATTGGACCTAGGAGAAGGACTCAAGATTGCGACTCGATTGGATGTAATGGCATACGAAGGCCCTGAGGTACTGGTGGGATTGGACTTCTTAAAACAGTTCAGGGCCAGGATCGATTGTGGAAAGGGATTGATCGAGTTCGATGGAATCGGACAGGATAATGGTTGGAAGTATCCAAGATTGGAGGAAGGATTGGTAAGAGGAACAGCATTGGAAAAAGGAGAAGATGAAATGAGCAAGGAGGAGCTACGACAAGTCATACCGACACAATGGCACCAGTATCTAGAACTATTCAAGGTGGAGAGAGCAAGAAGATTACTGTAATGACCCTGCTTGTGAGGATCACCGCAAATAAATAAATGTAACCTACCCGTAGGGCTGGATACTGAATTGGAACTCTGTGATGTGGATAATACTAGTCAACAATGGGTCAAAGGTCAGTAATGGTCAGTGAAGAGTGTATCAAGGAAACCAAAGAGGGTCTGAGAGAGGACGGAGGAAAAAGGAGGAGAAGAAGGAGGGAGAAGAAGGAGGGAGAAGAGGAAGTGAGAAAAAAGACAATGAAGAAAGAGATCCCCCTCAGACCCGGCTTATATGCATAAATGAGCTCACGTTTGACGTAGGGAAAACGTGAGAGAATCTGCGTCTTTGACACGTTGTGCGTGTATACTATATACTAGGAGACAGGAGAGACTATAGGTAAAGAAGGCGTAACTGAGGCAAGTGCATATAAGCACTTGTATATATGATAGGCAGACAAGAGACAGGGGTAGGGGTGTCTGGAAGAGAATCTAGTAGCTCGGTACTGATCAGTATGTAGGGGATGGTCGGATCCACTACATCACCCCCGGCGGCGAGTAAGCCTGGTCCCCAGGCTTGGAGAATTATCCCTTAATCACCATGAGAGTGAGACTGCCAATATTTGGTAATGGTCAGTGGAGCACTTTTGAGGTTGTCAGCTGGCTCCCAAGTATCATCATGATCAGCATAGCCTTTCCAATGCACTAGATAGTACTCTTTTCCTTGAGGTCCAATTCTGTGCGCTCGTATGTGGTCTACTTCATATTCTGGTGCGGTCTCTGCCGTTCCAGGTTCTACTGGTGGAGGAGGGGGCTGCCTACGGTTTGGAAATGGGTTAGGGCGAAATAGTCGTAGGTACCGAATGTTGATCACTGGATGAGCCTTTATGTGGGGTGGTAAGTCAACCTTATATGAAGTGGGGTTAACTACCTTCACTATGCGGAAAGGTCCAACATACTTTGCTTTCAGTTTCTTTGATCCGGAACCTTTTATGAATGGGGGACTGAGGTAACTTGTTGATATCATGACCATGTCTCCATCTGAAAAAGGTCTTTCCTTTCGTCCTATGTTGAAATGACGGGCTTGTTCTTCTTGAGCCAGTGCAAGAGCATCTTGAGCTTGCTGTTGTTGTCACAAAGTGTGTGACAAGTCAAGCGAAAGTCGGGGAAGGGTATTTAACCAGCAATCGGCGGTAGAGTTAACCGCCGATTAATAGGCCTTTTCGTCGCAGTGGTTAACATCACTGTTCCGTTGGGCACTGTTATATCGAGCCAATGCTGGTTAGTTGGTCTTCGTGACAGATTAATCGGCGGTTACGGGTAGGATCCTGGGTTCGACTCCCCGGACGGCGCCGGGGGTAACCCAGGCCCTACTTGGAAAACCTCCCTCTCGGAGTAAGTTTTCGGTCTATCGTACCCTTCCCAAGTGTGG